CGTATGTTGAGCCGTGTTCACCGGGTAGAATGGTAAGCATGACCTCATCATCCGCCAGCACAGCAGATACCTGTATATGCGACAGAGAAAGATCGACTTACGTGCAATAGGTCAGTACATTCTATAAAAGACTAGTGCGAAAAATAACAAACGTCACACCAAAGACTGTACAATTCACTGATAATACCCATATGTTTATGTCAATACAGAAAATAGCAATACACTTTTACAACATATTACAAAATATGTCCAAACGTGTCTATCACCGGCCTTCAAACAACCGGATAGAAGACGCGAGACAAAGCTTTNTTTGAAAATCCAAAATGGCGGCCATGCCGGTATCTCCGCAAATGTAAACATTGTTTTTCGAATTCCTCATGTTATAACCTTTCCAAAAATGCATAGGTTTGCTAATCTACCATAATTCTGAACGAAATGAAATTTATTGACATAGTGAACCTGACTATATATATACGGTTATGATTTTTCACGTTTGGTAATTAAAATTTTTTTTTTCAGAAGTGTCACTATGTTGAGTCGGGTAGGCAATCCGTTACGGCAAGTGTCACAGTTGTTTGTGCGTGCCGCCAGCACACAGAGTTCATCCTCATCAGCAAAGACACAGAAAGTATTTGATAAGGAGGATAGGTATGGTGCGCACATCTACCATCCTTTGCCTGTTGCATTGTGTAGGGGAAAAGGTGAGACAGATATCCTTGATCGTTCTTGAAAAATGTCTTATGTGTGGTGTGTGGCAAAGTTTAATCAGATGGGTGACCGGTCGCTTGATCGTTATATTGTAATTTACAACATGACCAATGACATCCAAGGACCAAGGAGTGGGACCTACTTTCTTTCAGGTGTACATGTTTGGGATGTCGATGGCAACCGATATTTTGACTTTCTGAGTGCATACGGTGCAGTAAATCAAGGTCACTGTCATCCACGGATTGCACAGACGCTAAAAGAACAGGTATGTGTTCATTCAGTGTGTGTCTTGCATCGTAATATCTGCAACTGTCAGTGTTGCGTTTGCGTTTACTTAAAAACGCAAGGCTGCATGCTGTTGTATGTAATAAAGAGTGAGATGGTTAGAGAGCACTATGAGATCGTGAATCGGTGGTCTGCTCGATCGCTAGGTGGGGTAAATATGTGTAAAAAAAATTAATATGTCCTCCGCATATCAGGCGTGCAGTGTATGAGGACTGAACTTGTACATCCCCCTCTCTTTTTATAGGCTGATGTCTTGACCCTTACCTCACGAGCATTCTACAACAGTGATCTGGGAGAGTACGAAGAATTTATGCACAAGCTGTTTGGTTATGATAAACTACTGCCAATGAACACTGGTTTGTTGCCTATCACTACGACGAGTTTGATCTTAGCAACGAACAACGTCGTCTCTGTCTAACGATAGAAATGTTATTTCTATGGCTTTGTATTTTATGCATGCAGTACTCGTACAAATGACAGGTAGTGCTGCAAAGACGGGACCCCTCACCTGTGAGAGCTTGTTTTCCTGCAGGTGTTGAGGCTGCAGAGACTGCATGCAAGCTTGCCAGGAAGTGGGCGTACAAAGTCAAGGGCGTAGAGAACAACAAGGCAAAGATCCTGTTCGCCGAGGCGAACTTCTGGGGAAGAACCCTGGCGGCCATCTCGGCGTCGACCGATCCCGTGGCTTAAACTCAAGGACTTTTCAATCTCAACAGTAAAATACGGTTAAAAAAATACGTACTTCAACTTGCTGCCAATACAATCGAGTCATCTTCAAATCAAATCAGCTGACTCATCAAAAAACTGCAATTATGACTATATTTTGCCTCTGAATCCAATAAAATTGGGGATGTTTTCGACCAAAGGCCAATGGTGGAATCGTAGAATAGTCGTAGTGCTATAGATGAATGAAGAATCTGACATATCGGACGATACACATTTACCTATTACACCATTCGTTGAAAACGTTCAAAACTGTACAAGATTCAGAAGCAAAATATAGTTACAATTGCATTTTTAAACAAAACAAACAGGGCAATTCGTGTCGTCTTGATTTTAAAACTAGCAGTATAGGCCTCAATTTCACAAGACAACGACGACTGCATGCAGCTTACAGCAGATGCACTGCATACACGTATCTGACAGAAGTACACGTGAACTAATCAAATCCTAGATGGACTTTTAAGGTAAAAGGTGATGTATATCAGTACAAATATATTTATACTCAGTAGCAGAGTACAACTAACAGAGCATCAAAAATATTATAGATATATAATTACATTATACATAGATACAGATACGACAGAAATATAAATAGCATGGACATCACAGTACAGACATGTCCGTGATAACCGCAATGAATTTAAATTAGACGTATTCATCTTATTCGAATGCACACGTCGTCCGAGTCAACATACTTCAAGAGCCTCCAAGTCATTGTAAGGGATGATCTCAAATCCTGGCATGTAGGGGCCGAAACCTTCGTAGCTGGAGGGACGATGTGCAAACATCTGTCTAGATAGTGATTTTTCCCCACAACCAACTGCTGTCATGACCGACGCTCGCTGCTATGTCTACGTGCGTCTGAAGGGGTAAAAATCAGTTTGAAAATTTACAGGCCAGCCAGGCCTGTAGGTAAGGGGGGGGGGATGACAAACCAAAGACCAGTTCAACAGCAACAGGGATAAAAAGTTTCCTGGCGACAGGTAAAAAGTTTTACCAACGACACAGACAAGCGGGGGTGAGAGGGGTCCCATAGCTACCAGATGTGGGAGGTCAAGGAGTTGCGCCATCACGTACACACGCCGGGCGAGAGAGTGGCGCCAGCCGAGCACGTGGCAGACAAGGGCGCGACGCTCGTGCGTATACTGGACCAAGGGGGTTGCATCACCCGTACCCGTGTTAAGCAAGGGGGGTGACAACGGCCAGGCACCTGAGGCACGTGAAAGGGAGGCACTGCCTGGATCCTACGTCACCGCAGGCTCCTATTTAAGCAGCCAAGATCCAATGGTAAAGTCAGTCAGTCTTCGAACGGCCACGAACGAACGATGGAACGAACGAACGAACGAACGAACGAACGAACGAGGGAGAGAGAGCGCACACACCGTCGAGGGAGAGCATGCACCTACGAGCAGGAAAACGCCCGAGAAGGTATACCTTATACTCGGGAAGCTATAGCCTACACACGACAGGGAGACACACTGCCAACTNAGAGCTTTTTACGCAGCAGTGTCGTACGCGCGCTCCACCGTGGTGTGGCCGCGGCCTAGATGATCGATCTTCAAACGCGCCTCGCGCGCCCCTGGCGCGGCGCCTGACATGCGTAGGTCGAGTTTTTACAAGTCCTATTGACCCCGACGCCGTGCCTCCGGCGATGGCACTCGTCGCGTGCCACCTGCGCTGCTGGCGGGCAATACTGCGCGAGGCACCGACGGTGGCGTGGCCCGTGCCAGTTTTCTACACGTAGCTAGAGTGACTCACTCGCAAAGCAGCAACAGCCAACAAAACTTCGCCCCTGCCGCGACAGCGCGGCTCTGCACGCGCAGCACAGCAAATTGCCCCCCGCGAAGGCCGGCCATACGCCGAGCCGGCTGTCGACGAAACTGCAACGATGTTACTCTTGCCCACGCATACGAATTCGCCACGCGCCGCCCGTCCTCCGGCCCGCCGCGAATGTCTAGGAGCGGCACGTAAGATGCTGGCGATCACGTGGTCGGAGACACACCGCGGTCGCCGTGCGCCAGTCCCGCGGAAGTGCGGCGGCTTAACCGCATCTCGCGGTCGGGAACACACACATGTCTTTGCGTCAACGCATCTTGTACCCGGGTCTCTCTGGACATTTAATACATTTGCCCTATTTTCAGCCCCTGATTCCCTATTATAGTTCGTGTTGTTCCTTTTGGCACTTTGAAAGGTATTCAGCGTCTTCTTATAATGTGTCAGTAGCTTAGCAATGCACCAAATTGCACCATTCTTTGAAAAAAATTTGGGGGAGCATGCCCCGGACCCCCTAGCATGGCGGAGACTACGGGTCCTCGCTTGCTTCGCCTTCCTCTGGTTTGCTAATTAAAATTTCAGCTGAAAATTAAATTATCCAATCTCATCCCTGGATACGTGTATGCAGTGCATCTGCTGTAAGCTGCATACAGTCGTCGTTGTCTTGTGAAATTGAGGCCTATACTGCTAGTTTTAAAATCAGACAACACGAATTGCCCTGTTAGTTTTGTGTAAAAATGCAATTGTAACTATATTTTGCTTCTGAATCTTGTACAGTTTTGAACGTTTTCAACGAATGGTGAAATGTGTATCGTCCGATATGTCAGATTCTTCATTCATCTATAGCACTACGATTATTCTACGATTCCACCATTGGCCTTTGGTCGAAAACATCCCCAATTTTATTGGATTCAGAAGCAAAATATAGTAATGATTGCAGTTTTTTGATGAGTCAGCTGATTTGACTTGAAAATGACTCGATTGTATTGGCAGCAAGTAGAAGTACGTATTTTTTTAAATCGTATTTTACTGTTGAGATTGAAAAGTCCTTGAGTTTAAGCCACAAAAATCACTATCTAGACAGATGTTTGCACATCGTCCGTCCCACAACCAACTGCTGTCATGACCGACGCTCGCTGCTATGTCTACGTGCGTCTGAAGGGGTAAAAATAAGTTTGAAAATTTACAGGCCAGCCAGGCCTGTAGGTAAAGGATTTTACACAAGTGAGCGATACTGCGGTAACTTTTCATCCTCACTGGCGTGCCGGGGACGGTTTTGCATGCTAGGGTGGATTTTCTACAGACCCATCAGGCTTGCTAGTGTGGAGATTTCAGGGGGGGTGAAGAGTTGTGGAGATTTCAGGGGGGGGGGTGACGTTATACAAAGCAAAGACCAGTTCAACAGCAACAGGGATAAAAAGTTTCCTGGCGACAGGTAAAAAGTTTTACCAACGACACAGACAAGCGGGGGTGAGAGGGGTCCCATAGCTACCAGATGTGGGAGGTCAAGGAGTTGCGCCATCACGTGCACACGCCGGGCGAGAGAGTGGCGCCAGCCGAGCACGTGGCAGACAAGGGCGCGACGCTCATGCGTATACTGGACCAAGGGGGTTGCATCACCCGTACCCGTGTTAAGCAAGGAGGGTGACAACGGCCAGGCACCTGAGGCACGTGAAAGGGAGGCACTGCCTGGATCCTACGTCACCGCAGGCTCCTATATAAGCAGCCAAGATCCAATGGTAAAGTCAGTCAGTCTTCGAACGGCCACGAACGAACGAAGGAACGAACGAACGAACGAACGAACGAACGAACGAACGAACGAACGAACGAACGAACGAGGGAGAGAGAGCGCACACACACCGTCGAGGGAGAGCATGCACCTACGAGCAGGAAAACGCCCGAGAAGGTGTACCTTATACTCGGGAAGCTATAGCCTACACACGACAGGGAGACACACTGCCAACTCACGAACTCGCGCTGAGCTGCGGAGCACACGACAGGGAGAGACAGAGACGGCGTTCATTTCACTCTGGGTTTTTCTGCTACTGCATCACCGTCCTACCTTCGCGGTAGGAGCGGAAAATGATCCCGACAAATAAATTACACGTGCTAACCACAGCACGTGTGAAAGTCCAGTGTGGCCACCCCTAGGGCCACTACACTAGTATTAGAAATGTCAGGCCCGAGCCTTAAAATGTGGGCATCGGGTCCGCGTGCCCCTTGTGATTTCGACCCATGTTCTTGTCTGTTGGTAGGTCGCCACCAAAGATCCAAATGTGTGTGCCTTCATGGTGGAGCCCATACAGGGCGAGGCTGGTGTTCGTTTACCGGATCCAGGCTACCTGAAGGGCGTGAGGGAAATATGTTCCAAGAACAACGTGCTGTTCATCGCCGACGAAATTCAGACTGGTCTCGGCAGGACCGGAAAGTATGCTATCTTGTTTTTATGTGTGTGGGGGGGGGGGTAGCTGCTGTATAGTAGAGTCAAGTTCTTTGTCAGTGTGCATTGATATTAGTGGGTTCTGTGTGTGTGATTGACGATAACTTCTTTTGCTGTAGCGTGATTATAATCATATTATATCTATAATTGTAGTTAGTATACCTATTGCACTGCAGCAGGCATTGAGAGCTGTTAAATTACACATTTGACTTAGGAACATGAAGTTGAAAAAAATCAATCTTGGGAGTCCCAAAATCTTGTATACCGGTAACTGTTTCTAGCCTTGCAGGCAGCCAAAGTAATTTAAGTTGATATATTCATATTATCCTGTAAGAACACGTAAAGCATTGCCATGGTTTAAAAAAATGTTTAAACCAAGTTATTGTATGCAAGTGGTTTGCAGAGAATGTGAAGTTGGTCGGACCTGTCAGGTCGTATATATATTAAAATATCAAATTACATTATATAATAATATAATAACAATTAATAAATAATTGAAAAATTGTTTCTAGGCTCCTGTGTGTGAACCATGATGATGTTAGGCCGGATATAGTTCTACTCGGCAAGGCTTTATCTGGCGGATTCTATCCGGTAAGCTTCTCTTGTTTGAAGGCCACTGATAGCCATGTTTTGACATCTTTTTTAACATGTAGATAAAGATATAGTTCTAGATATAGATGCAGATATAGTTCTACTCGGCAAAGCTTTGTCTCGCGTCTTCTTTCCGGTTGTTTGAAGGCCGGTGATAGACACGTTTGGACATATTTTGTAATATGTTGTAAAAGTGTATTGCTATTTTCTGTATTGACATAAACACATGGGTATTATCAGTGAATTGTACAGTCTTTGGTGTGACGTTTGTTATTTTTCGCACTAGTCTTTTATAGAATGTATACTGACCTATTGCACGTAAGTCGATCTTTCTCTGTCGCGCATACAGGTATCTGCTGTGCTGGCGGATAATGAGGTCATGCTTACCATTCTACCCGGTGAACACGGCTCGACGTACGGTGGCAACACACTCGCCTGTAAAGTAGCTACAACGGCACTTCAGGTGGGCTCTTGCTTTGGCAGACTAGCCGTAGTGCAATATTTTTTTGCAAATTTTTATTTTATTTGTTCAATGTTTTGTAGCAGCCAAAAATGTTGATTGTTACTTTTAGGACTGAAGTAGTGCCAAGTGCATGCATGTATGATCTTTGCACTGGGTCGTTTACCAGTACAGCCTTGCGTATGCAAGCGCCAAGAGCTATAGGGATAAAGCAACGTACACAATTATTTCGTATATTCTCATATTTTATTAAACTTATTGTCATGATTGTGTAAACCCAAACAAGAGAATTAACTTCATGTAGATTCGTTTTATTTAGGAAACGTAGCTGAGCAGAACACGAGATTACAAACCGCCATGCCGAACTCCTGTAGCTCCCCCTGGCTCTCAAATATCTAACTGAATGATAGACAACTCTCCTACAGGGCGCTACCGTCATTAATCTTTATGACACTTATTATATACTTACTATGAAGGTTATTGTAAAAATCATTGTAATATTATTTATCTGCTGTTGGCAGAGTAGCTTAACGTGTGAGTCTGCTATAGCCAGTGTTACGTAAGCTAACTACAGGTTTTTGCACTTGATAGGTTCTGCTTGAAGAGAAGCTGTGTGAAAACTCTGCAAGGCTAGGAGAGATCTTGCTTACAGAACTAAAAAAATTGCCAAAAGAGATCGTGAGGAATGTCAGAGGCAAGGGCCTGTTCTGTGCCATCATCATAGAACCAAGTAGGTAGCCTTGCGTAGTGCGGATTGTGGCGGAGAGAGATAAGCCCGCGGATAGTCAGAGAGAGAGAGATAAGCTGACCCCAGTACCATAGAACTACATATCATGTTTCCCTGCTGTATGTGTATCCCTGATCAAAACCTAGCAGCTAGCCAATTTGTAATTTCATGTTTGCTACACTATTGTGTTAATTCCCAGAGGGCTGTTCGTCCTATCAAAAAACAAATTGGGCTATCTTGAAAACTTGTCTATTTGGTATATTTTGCAGCACTCGACTCACTAGAGCTACTTGTTAAGCTGGGTTTAAACTACCGACTTTATGTTGTCAAATTGGTAAATTGGACCAATTTCGCAACTATACAACCGACAATCGGCAGTGTAAACGCAAAAGTCGCATGAGCAACTTGTCAATAGCAACTAGTCGGGAGATTAGAACATGTTCTATTTTCGCAACTCCGTGTTAATTGCCGAATTGGGAAATTGGTCCAACTCACCAATTTGACAACATAAAGTCAGTAGTGTAAACCCCGCTTTAGTCACTCCCACTGGAGAGATCATTTTTTGATTGGCGTTGGGCCTCAGAATTACACACGTTAACCTTGTAACTGGTGGAATGTGTTTGGAGAAAACAATCAATAAAAAAAACATTTCTGTTTTCAGAATACGATGCGTGGGAGGTGTGCGTGCGTTTGCGTGACAACGGCCTTATCGCAAAGCCAACCCATGGTGACAAGATCCGACTGTCACCACCTTTGGTCATCAATGAGGAACAACTGCATGAATGTGTTGACATTGTGAAAAAGACACTCCTGTCATTTGCATAAAATCAACGCCGACGCCTACAATAGCAATTCTTCATGGAAACCTTGCCTTTGCATAACTACGGAATCTCTCTTATCACATGCTGGTGGTTGTTTTGAAACAACATCTGAGGTTAATGTTACAATCATTGATAGCTACAAAATTATGAAGGCGTTGTTGCTTTTTCGGTACGGCAATTCTAACCAGTGTGATTCAATGGGCTTATACTAGAGGGGCAAATGCATGATTATTATGTATATCGGGCTCTATTGAGTGGTAGACGTGGATAGGTGTGTTATAGCTGCATTGGGTGACATCTTGCATGAGAGAGCAACTAAGTTATTATTGCTCTCTCAACTGGAACTTCGCTGTACAGGTATGTACAGGCTGTATGGTGACAGCTTCTAGCAGTGTAAGAATCACTTCTGCTTGAAGGCTTTGGACATTGAAAGTTTATTAAGGTGAGCCTAAGATATAAATAATAATAATTTTAATAATGATAGTGTTGGATGGCTTGTTGTTTTGGTGGCTATCGGAGTATATCGTTCTCGGGCAATATATTGTGGTATCCCCTTAAATTGACTACGTCACGAATTTTCTATGGTGATATTTGTAAAGATTTTGTTGCCATTTTTTACATTAAAAGCAATTAGTAATGGGACTAAACGTATCGTCAAATTGTTACCCGATAAGATTGTTTCTCAACTAGTTAAAATCCAAAAAACCTGGATGATTTGATAAATATAATCCTGAACATCCTGACTTTAATTGCTTGCTATGGGCTATGTATGAGTCACGAGCGTATGTTTACATTAAACAATATAGTAAAATAGGAAGTTAATGCAGCAATTTAACCATAAAAAGTAAACAGAATTACTTACATTTTGTGAAAAAGTGGAAATATTTTCTTTACTTTTACTATTTACGGTGACGTAATCACTTTAAAGGGCATCCAAAATGATATAAATATATACGAGCCGACTTGTTATTATTTTTGCATAGGGGCATTGCGGCCTGCAACATTGTTTTCCACTTTACTTTGCGATTATATGGGTGTGTTCATTGAAAACACTAATAAAATATGAAGGTGGTAACCACGATTAAGGTTATTTTTGTGTGAATATCTAAGTGTTATTAAAATATTCTCTAAGTTATGATTGCACGTTTGTTACAAATAACTATCCCAGAATTGAACCATGATAACAAGGTCAGCTTTACCTATCACTACCTTCCGTCACCACTGGAAAACACTGCCTGCATGAATGTGTAGTCACTGTGAAGACCATTACATAACAAATCCAAACAACTATAAAAGGACAAATAACAAATTGCAACAATTATAAAAGGAGAACATTAATATATTTAGAGTCGAGCAATTTTAGCTTGACTGCTTTCGGCAGAATAATCTCTTTTCAGTTTCATAATTTTATCCAATAGTAACAATACGAAACATGTTCCCATGTAAACGGAGCTTGGATACAACTATTTGCATGACAGTGTGATCACGTTTATACATGCAATTTCTGTTAGGAACAACATACTATGCCGCTCTATTATATATTACCAGGAGTTAATAAAGACAAACTTTGTCTTTATTAACTCCTGATATTACTCAGCTAGTATGTGAAAACTCTTCAGCGATACACTTTGCAATCGTGTTGAGCTGAATATTGCTTGTCCCTTCGTAGATAGTACCTGAAAATATGAGAGAATTTTGTACACTGCACAGACAAACCGCACATAAGTTAGCAAGGTATCGCGGAACGTACAAGAAATCTCACGATATAGGCGTGTACAATGACTTTATAAGCTTCAGGCCCATTGGCATCATCTTGTCTGAATCCTACTGAATCCCACATGAACAAACAATCTTTACTTTTTCTCCAGGCAAACTAAACCATTTTCAAAAGCTGCAGGTCTAGGAAAGCTTACCGATTTTGACATCCCTGTAGTATTTCTCTATTGGCATTGCTTTGGTAAATCCTACACCTCCCATCCACTCCAGGCACTTGGACGTCGTGAGCGAAGCAACCTTTTTGAATGAACGATTATTTACAATAGGAATTTGTCACTGGCAAGGGTAAAAAAAGTATTTAAACAAATGGTAACATTGAGATAAATCGTATTATAGCGAGTCTCAACACAAGCATGCATTTTACAATATTTTGTGACAAGTAATATTGTAAATGTTGTCCTGGGCCAGAGGAAAACTGCTTCAGCAGATTTACACTATAGTAGATAATTTTTAATTCGGTCAAATGAACTGTGAAGCACTAACACACCAGGGTCTCTTATACATAAGAGGCACAGTGGCGCACTGCCGTTGTCAAATTTAACATCGCCATTGTGAAAATGCTTTAAGACATTGAAATTTTTTAAATTTTGCTGGGGGAGACCCCTCAGAACCCTCCTAGCTCCCTCTCTCCCCCCGCATCTGCCTGCAGCGTCCGCATGCGTGCCTACATGCGCGTTTTTTTCCCAAACTGGCCACTACCTCCTTTGTCTAACTTTCCCTGAGAAGAAACCCTGCACACCGTTCACCATTTGATCGAGACTCACCTCGGATGCGGTGAATTTCGCCATGGCAGCCTGCTTGACAAACGGCTGGCCGCACTCCTTCATACGTGCGGCGTTGTACGCTAGCATTCTCGCAGCTTCAATCTGGGTGCTCACCTGAGCCATCTGGTGCTGCATGGCCTGGTGGTTCGAAACGAGCGTGTTGCGTGAAAATATGACATGAACATTCGTCACTGCCGGTCACTTTATTATGTTACGCTGGTTCGACATATATTTACATGTAGATTTTATTGTCACATGTGATGAAACTAATATAATGCACTGATCAATACAGTCAACGCTGTATTAGTAGACACCTATACAGAATAAAAAACCTATTGTCGCTCGAGTGGCAATTATGCAATGAAATCACCCCTACAGACTAGACACCTGTCTGTAAAGAACAATTTATATTTCTCTTAAGTGGCAGTTATAGTGAAACTACCTCAATAGGACTTTTGTCATCCTAAATTTGTAGAAATAAATTAAAATTAGACTACTGATGGCACATGTGCCAAAATTCATCACATTCAGTCATACCTGAAAATCCCATATTATTTTTCCAAACTGTTTTCGTTCCATTACGTACCGAAGCGTTTTGTCAAAACATCCTTGAGCCAATCCTACCATCTATAAATAATCAATTGTTTGTTTTTAGTAAATTTCTTTATATCACAACACTACTTTAGCATGCAAGAGAACTGAAGCATACATCTGGGAATGTCGCATGTGCGATGAATATTGAAATTTGTGCAGTGAATAGTAAATTTTCTAACTTTCTTAACCAGGGGAAGACTTATTCCTCCAATTAAGTTTTTAATTGGCAAAATGCATTTTTTTTAGAGGTAGTTTTTAAAATTTTATGTGCAGTGACTTCATTTGCATATTGCCATTCCTCTGTCGAGTACTGCGTATGATGTCAATAAGACGTGTGAGTTGTGTGGCTATCAGACTACCTGCCTCAAAGGGTGCGCTCAAAAAGATATGATGTTTACAATGTATTATTCATATATAATGAATATTCCTCAACAGAGATACAAAGTTTTCTGGACCTCAATGGGTTTTGTAATTCCTTCATGTAGTTCTTCAAGTAATTTTTAACACAATATGTATTACCCATGACTTGTTCAGTAATCTATAATAGCTTTTTAGCTGGAGGATGCCATTTACTCTACCTTACCTGTGCAGAAATACCAATCCTTCCCTCATTCAGTAGCCCAATCGAATACTTGTAACCATGGCCAATTTCTCCAATGACGTTCCTATCTGAAACCTAGAAAACCGAAACAAGTAAGGAATGATATCAAGAGCAGATAAAGAAGGAGAGCGTACAACGGTAAAATGCTAAAACCATGCTGCAGTATTAGTCAAATTAATAAACTTTTCCCGTTTTATTCTGACGATCCTTTGCAGTATTATTGATTAGCT